ATCTAAATATGTGATATGTGCAAGTTATACTTGTTCTACCCGTATTATCAATTTATATATTATATGTATCGCACTAGCATAGACTTATTTTTTACTTGATTTGGGATGTGCATATATGCATAAAAATGAAACTTGTTATAATAGCTTATCCTATCAATATTATAATGGCAAAATTATACACGTCACTCTGGCTATACTAGTACATAGATTAGCGATGTCCAAAAAATTTTGCTTTTTTGTATAACCCGAGCTTCCAGGCCAAATCAATTTTGGCCGAAATAAACAAATTTTACTAATAAAACACTAATTGATATATTATGTAAAGTTGCTCAAATTGTAATTTTGCTATAATATTAGTTAGCAGTATTAAACTTTTATTAATGTTTCGCAGATGCGATCCGAGGGCCGAATCCGAATTATCGAATCAAGTTCCGGAAGCTTGAATTACACAAAAAAGCAAAATTTTTTGGATATTACTAACCTACCAGACTATACTGACATCTGAATATAACGACATCATAGTAAAATCTTTCTATATCAACTTATTTTTTCAAAAATTTTCAAAAATTTAATATAAATTGTCAGTATAATTCACTGTATTATATTTTAAATTTTTTTGTTAATGAAAAAAAAATTGTCGATAAATCCAGAGTAATGTGTATTAAAAACAGTATATAGACTATATAAAAGCAAGGTGACTTATAAGTAAATCACGGTTTGATGTCAAAATTTCATAATTTTATTGGCCAAGGTGCTGAACTTTAAACAATCTCTTTGTTTGGAATAAGTTTTAAACATGATTTTACATGTAAAAAATTTGAAATTTATAGCTATAATATAATTTATATGTCAGAATGTTTAACATTATGGCAAATTAGAAGCACTTTTCAAAACCCAGTAAATACTATTTGAAATTTTACCAAATCCCAAACTAGTAGGTTTGGGTCGCAACCCTAGGGGCAGCCACTATTTACTTATTTGCACCAGTAACACAAACCAAAAAAGGAACTCAATTTTGTAAATAAACTAAGTGCATAAAAATAAAAGTTTAGAATTATGACATTGGGGTTGTAAGCTTTGGTAATAAGTTCATGCTTCTTATATATAAAATTTCATCTCTGTTATTTTTTATTAGTCTACAAAGGTCAATTTAAACACTAGTTTTTGAGTGTGGCTTAGCCAGATAGGGTTGTAATAAATTATCTGACAATATAATTTACATTGTAAGTTACATGACTCTATGTAAGTTACAAAATATATTATAGTAAAGCAGGCCAGCTTTGTATTAATGCTGACTAGAATAAATTTAGCCAGCATTAAAGTTATTAAAGGATGAAATTTTTATTATTATTATATATAACTTAACTTACATTTTAAAAATAACTTACAGTAAGTTATACAACCCTAGTTACAGAACTTTTGTAGTATAATTTAGACTAGAATGATAATGTTAGCCAAAACTAAATAATAGGAAGCAAGGATCTAAAAATTTCCAAAAAGAAATAAACTAATATCAAAAACTAGCAAGGTTAAGAAAAAAATTGTAATAAATTTCTAAAAGTAAAAAATTTGGCTTTAACTATTAGCTAGCTGCCAAGCTAAAATTTTTATTGGCTAGCTAAGCTAGCTAATAAAAATTTTATAACTTGTAACACTAAAATTAACTATCATATTAGGGGTGTGCCATTTATTATATGATATTTTTACTTAGTAGCCATCCTATCCATATATAGTGTAATCACTTTATCTAATTTTGATTGGTTAATATCATATATAAACACGATTACTATATCTGACCATGTATCTATAGTAAAAATCACGTGATAAATAACATGTCCTCTATACTAGATCTCAAATTTTGATTAGTCAAAATCACAGAGTGTGGGTAAGTAATATTAACATTACTGTATTATACCAGTATAATAGAAATAATATATAATACAGTAATATCTGAGATAACTAACCTAGTAGTATTAACAAATTTTTACTGATTGATGCTAAACAAATTTGATCAAACCAACAATTTTTAAAATAACAAAACATTATATTATAGTTAGTTTATAATTGTATAATCACATTAGAGCTTTTTTTATACCAAAATTTAGCAAAAAAATTTTTTTTGCTAATATACAGTAAGTAGTTTCATATATAAAATTTTGAGTTATTTGCTATTTTTTAAAAAATGTATAATTTTCACATTACACCTGATCTTAAAATCTAATTGGTTAATTTATGTCGATCAGTGAAAATCTACCAGTGCTACTAGGTAGTTAGGAAGAGGTTCGTCTGATTGGCTGATATAAATCAATTGCCCAGGTAACTTATTTATATATTATAGTATTGTATAAATTTTTTAAGAAGCTTGAATTTATTAATAATAAATATTATATTTACCTACTTTATACATATCTTCTATTCTGATAAAATATTTATTATTTTGTAAGTTTTTTTTTTAGCTTCTATTTATATCTAAGAGTTTTTTTGATAAATTTGATTTTTTAACTATTATACTGTGAATTCTAAAAAAAAATAAAAAATTCTTTTATATTTTCCAAAAATAAAATCTATATTTCATTATTCTTATTATTGAAATTCAAAGTGTTTTTTTTAATCGGATGTTCAAATATAATAGCCAATGAAGTTTGTTTAAATAATATAAATTTTTCAACTAATGAAAAGTCAAGCTGGAAATTGTCTTATATACTATATTGTACTGCTTATAGTATCCCTCTCAAATAATATCCTACTATATAAAGTACCTCATTCTCCACCAATGAAATTGCCAAATTCATGAATAGTACCCAGTACTATTCAATTTTAAAATAGTGTTCTTGAATAAGACCCTGGGTACTATATAGGGTTGGCAAAGTTCTTAGATTTAGGACTTTAGAACCCGGTTTTTAGACCCAAAATTTAAAAACCAGGTCCTGATTTTAGAACCTAAGTTCGTAGGTCCTTAAAAAGTTCTAATATAAAAAATATATATAATATATGTATATGTAGTATATATGTATGTATAGTATATGTATATGTTTTAGAAAATGCCAATAGACTATGTCTATTGGCTCAATGAACAATATTCATTAATAATTTGTTTGGAGCCCATCATAGTCTATTGCCAACCCTGTGTATACACACTAATCTATACATGCATATATTAAATGTTGTATATTGGATAAATATTAAGTGGATTGATAATAAATGAAAGGATATATTCTGGCATCTTCAAAATAGAGCTCTTTTCCTAGACTATCACTTATTGCATATAATACAAGCTAACAATGGAGAATGCTTAGAATGTCCAGAAGAATTACAAACACTAACATACTTCAGCCTTAACTATAAAACAGCTAAAATAGTATGAGAAATTGTGTATAAACATATAAAAGGAGCTGAGTCAGAAACTCCACCAAGAATATTGAAAGAAATTTTTATAACGACAAAACATTAAAGACAAGAAAAAGAGAAAAGTTATAACCTGGATACATATCGTTGCAATATATAAGATCTGGTACTGTTACACACAGGCTAGATGAGAAGGTAACTCCATTCCTCAACTAATTCTCCCACATGTGATCAAAAACAGAATAGATAAAAAGATCAAAACCCTTGATAATAAAACATATAAAAACAGTAGAGCAAAGGACGCTCTATTTAAAAATTTAATTGTAAATATGTAAAAATTATATCATAAAATCAATTTTTATAATATGTAAAAATTTAAATAAAGTACACCTCCTGGCGTCTCTCATTATGAGAGTTTAAAAAAAAAAAAAAATGCTGTATATCTTAATTACTTTATATACAATATATAGTGAATCTAAGACTTTGAACTAAGTCTTGGGTTCTAGAACTAAGTCTTGACTGGACTTAGATTAACTCAAGTTCTAGGACTAGTTCATAAAAACTTATTCCGTAAGTCCATGTAGTAAGACTTATGGGTTATGAGACCAGGACTGGACCAGGACTGGACTTTACTATCTCTAGTACTATAAGCAGTGTGATACAGTAGATAGAAATCTATCACTATAGTAAATCGTAATAATTAAAAGTATTATAAAATTCATGTGATAAACCTGAATTATTAAAACAGATTCCAATCTCTAGCAATGATGTTGATTCAATAATTTGCAAAGATAATGAGAAATTCTTAAACAAAACATATTATTTATCCCTTAAACCGTTTAAAATTCAGGGCAAATTTGCCCTGAATTTTACTATAAAAATTCTTCTGATCTATTTTTTTAAAAATTTGAAAAGTAAAGATTATGTTTTTGCAAAATTTATATTTAAACTACAAGATAAAAAATTTAACTTACTTATAGGCTAAAAATATACAAGATTTTAATTAAAAAAAATTTTACAATCATTTGAAAATTTTTTAAATATTAATTTTAAACCTATAGTTTCTTAATAGAAATTGTAGTTTAAATAAAGAATGACAACTTTTGTTATTACAACTTTTATGATTTATTTGTAAAAATTAAGACTTATATTAGTAGTAAAAATTTTTCATTAATAAAAATATATAAAATTTTAAAAATTTAAAGAAAAATCTTATAGTAAAAAGTTCAAAATAAAAACTTTAAGATTTTATTACTTCTAAGTTTATTAATAAATTTAAAAAAAATTTCTTAATAAAGTTATTAGAATATATTTAAAAAAACATTTTTTATTTAGAAAGTATATAGTTAAAATCAATATTTAAAATTTTATTTTAAAAATAAAATTTTACCCAAAATTTCAGGGCAAATTTGTAGGAGAAACGGTTTAAGGGATAATGCAAAGAAAATAGAATGATTAAATGATCTGAAGATTTATAACTTAAAATTATAAAATTATTAACGTAAGAGATGCAAGAATTTTATAAATATAAATGTGAATATTCTAATTTTTGGTACATGAAAATGGTTGTCATCAAACAGCATCAATTTTTTGATTAAAAATTTGTTTCGATTGTAATTCTTAACATTTTATTTTTTGCGCAAGTTATTTGAAATTCAAAATACAATTAAGTCTATAGAATTCCAAATCCACCTACAATACAACATCTCAACATATATATATATATTTAGAAATATGAAATTTTTTACATTGTAATTTTTCAAATCAAAAAAAAAATTTTTTTTTTTAAATTAAATAATTATCAGAATAAAAAAACATTTTTTTAAAAAATACAAATTTCTATAAATTTGACAAAAAAAATTTTTTTGCGAGGTAAATTACATTTTGAGCAATAAAAAGCAATAAAGGTCTTGTTTTCCAAAAAAAAAAAGATAAAAGATAATTATAACAATTATTAAAGTCCATCGTATAAAATATAAACATTATTCCATAACTAAATTATAATCTACAATATTTAATTTAATCCAAGTTATAAAAATATTAATAATATGATATTAATTAATACGAATAATTATTAAGGTAAGGTAATGTCCATATTCCAACGGTCAACATATTCCATACTCGGACTACAAAAAATAAATTAATAAAGTATTAATAAAATTTATTTAAAAAAAAAATAACTTGAGTAAATAAAAAAAAAAGAAAAGACGTACCCAGAGAATGGATGTGAAGGATCAACAACATCATAAATAACATTTACCATCGTTTTCAACACTTCAATTTTTTCCTTCATACCATCCATACCATTCTCAAAATCATCATCACCACTAAATGCATCATCACTTTCATCATCATCCGTTCTACCACCAATTACACCATCCCAATTAATCAAAATTTTCTTTAAGGATCCCACATTTTTTGCATACTTATACAACACATCCAGAAATAAATTATCAACGATTTCTGAACGATATATGGCTAATACGTGTAATTTTGCTCTACATTGATTTAAAAAGAACTCCAGTATACAAGCATCAATATGTAATTTAACCCCAAAATATTTTAAACGTTCCGGTATAGCCTCAGAAAATTGAGTTAAACTATCAGTTGAAAGGAAAGGACATTCAGTTGAATTACTATATAAAGAAAAATGGATCAAATTTTGTAAAGATCTAAGTAAAGTAAATAATAAATCGGGAATTTCAGGAGTAACCAAAGTTAAGGATAAATGCGTTAAATATCTACAATTATTTCCAATTTGTTGAATGAGAGAAGGAGTGACATCTTCTAAATATAATGATCTCAAATTCTTATTAGACATTTGTAATATAGGAACGATAAAATCTTGAGTATCAACATGTAATCTTTCATCACGATAATATAAATGTTTAATATTAATTTGACCAGTTGAAACATCCACAAAAGATTTCATCTTATCAACATTATTATTAACATCATCAATATCATCATTATCAGAATCGAAACCCAAGAATTGTAAAGTTTCTAAATTAACGAGAATAGGTAAAATAGGTAATAAAATTCTAAATTGATCAATATCTAAATGATGAAATTTTAAAAAAGTTAAAGAATTCCATTGACAAATTAAAGAATTAAATAATATATCAGCAACATAAGGACTCCAAAATTCTACAATAATTAATTCTCTAACACCTTTTTGAGTTTCGATTAATCTTTTAAAACTTTTTGCAATTTGAACTAATTCATCATCTTTACCAGCTAAATTTGTAATATTAATATAAATATGTTGAATATTATGAGAACATTCAGCCATAAAATTAAATAAATTTGAAATAATTTCTGAAGATTTATCATCATCTAAATCATTTAATTTCCAACCTGAATAATCAAATTGAAAATTTTCTAATCTTGATAAAGCTTTATTAGCATCATCAAAAGTAGCAATGTCTATTATTAAAGAATCATCATCATCTTCAAAATGAGCAAGATCTAAATCTCTTAATCCTTTACTATGACTAAATAATAAATTTCCTATTACACATTGTACAAGATAAGTATAAGTACATAAATCAGGATCTTCATCTTTCTCGGGATCTAGACGATAATTTGCACGAGTTGAAAGCCAAGACATTATAGCACCAGTAAAAAAAGCCGAATCAAAGCTTTGTAAAAATTTGGAATAATCAAATAAAAGAGGAGTAGAAGGAGAAAGATCTAGACCTTCATCAATTAAAAGTTGACGTTCGTCTTCAGGTAAACAAGAGATGTAAATTTGAATTATATCAGAAGATCGTTCACCAAAGCCATGTACTTCGAACGGGTGACTCCATAAAAGAGGAATGGCAGTCCGACACCATAGACGGTTGACCAGTATACATGAGTAAAGAGTTTTAGGAGAGTCTATTAGATGACACAAGATTTCTTCGAAACAATCGAAAGTTAAGGGAATAGGGAATAAATTTTGTAAAGTGGAATCTTCAATGGTCATAGTCATGGCTATGAAAGATAGAAAAATTAGAAAGAAATGCGTTTACGATCATTATAACCGATACAGTAATACAGTAATAGGTAAAAAAAAAAAACATACCGATACGTTAAAAGAAATAAAGTCTTTTGCAAAAAATCATGTCAATTATACGTACAGCAGTACAGTACGAGGCAGCCTTGATTACGTTATATCAGATATCTTATCAGTTATTGGTCAGTTTTATGTATTTATCGTTACGATAGCTGATAGACTTTTTTAGTTTAAACTAAATATAGAATTCAAATATTGATACCGATACGTTCTAAACTTTGTTGACTAAAGTAAAGAGTCAAGAAATGCACTTTTTACATATTTTCAAAGAATTATAAGTATTATAAGTACAGATAAAAGATAACAATAAGGTTTTACGTTAGTTTTACGTATCGTTATAAAAATTCCCATATCGATATTATCGACATAATCGACATTATCGACATTAATACAAGTTAATAACCGATACGTAAATGTTAATACAAATGGCCGATGACTTCATCATGACGAATTTATACTTTAAATCCGAATACGTACTGAAGATCGATACGTTAGTGCGTAGTAAAATTACGTAGTAAAATTAATAGGATTATCTATAAACTATATCAATATATTTTTATTAAAGACACGAATTTTATATATATATCAATATATATTCATATATGAAAAAAAAACACAATAATTGCACTAACAAAAATTAGAAAAATGCTAAAGCATTTTCTTTTTAAATATAATAATCAATTAACGTCTATACATATAAAGTACAAAAATGATTAGCCGATATATTTGTTAAAGATATGTTAAGGATATCCTTCGTATTGATCATTTTCCGGGTGATAGGAATATGTAGGATGTTGAGAGTGTTCCATATCCATATCATATTCTTGTCGTTGATCCGGATGATAATGCTGTTGAGGAATTAATTGTTGGCATACTACCGGAGTTGAAGGTTCTTCGGGATATAACTCCGATTCTTGCCTTCTATGATGATTTTTCATATTACCACCATTAACATTAGCGATTTCTGGGGAAATTTTTAACGGTTTTGGAGTTGTTTTTAACGAAGTAGGGGTAGTTATTTGACGAGAATTAATTGAAATACTATCATTATTAGTTTGATTTAATTTATCAGAATTGGTAGCTGATTGATTAAAGAATTCTTTTTGTTGTTCTTTAGTGAATCCTGATCTTTCTTTACCCCATTTTACTTTTTCCCATTGTATTTTTTTACATACAATGGTTGTTATTAAAAATGCGATTGTATTCACCCAACCCATGATAAGTGATACGGAAAAATAAACGCATTGATCGTGAGATTCTTCATTACTACATGATAAATTAAACCCTGTATAAACTGTAATTAAATTCGCGAGTCCTAATTAAAATAAATTTGTTTATTATTAATTTTATTATCGTTAATCGTATCGTCAAGGTCACGTTATCAATGAATAAATTTGTACTCACCAGCGATGAGCCATATAATAAAAAAGCCTCTAATATAAGAATGCGATTTTTTTTTATAAATATATATATAATTAAAAAGATCATTAATACTGTACTCGTTCAATGACACTTACAGATCAATCATAATATTTGGACCTTGCCCCCATTGCTTATGAAATTGCGATAAATAATATCCTAAATATAAAAAAGTAGTCAGAAAAAAATATATATATATATATATATATATATTTGAAAGTGAGAAAATTTATTTAAACATACCAAGTCCGAACAATGTAGCAAAGATTACAATATAGAAGAAATATTTAACTTCTCCAATGTAAATATCACTGTAACTATAAAAAAAAATTAATTTATTTTTCGATTTATTCGTTTTTTCATAATTCAAAAAGGATTATATATTTACACGTAATGTCTATAGAAAAACGAAGTTGTTGGAAGAGTGCTATTGATTTGTGAGAGATACTGACAGTAGGCTACAAACTGCAACACTTCTGCAGAACCGAATTTCATCAGAAAGAAAGAAAGAAATATATAAATATACAGTAAAATATAAAATACAGTAAATTTCAACTTTTTTATCTCTTCCCGAGAAAATAAAGATACGCACCCAAAATTAAAATTGTTAAAGTCATAAACCATTGAAAAATCTTTATTGCTTTAAAAACTTGTGGATGTGATCGTAATTGTACCATGGTCGTTTATTCCTATTTCGTGGTTTAACACTATCGAAAAACAATACATAAGAAAAAAATGAGGAACAAAATTTTTGTATTCGACCAGATAGTGGGCGTGGTGATGTTCGACCTTGGGAGGTTATTAAAGATTTCATTTCCTGAATTGGTGCAAGGGGAAACTGCATGTTATATCACAAAAACATCAAAAACAAAAAAAAACTAATGCTTTAAAGCATGTAATGTGTCGTACAATTGTTTATATTTTTAAAGTATTTAAAGTCTTTTTCGTTAATAAAAAAAAAAAAGAATCCCCTTTATAATTTATGTAATTTATGTTTGAGTGAGTGTTATTTATTTTATTCTTGTCATATTTTTATTGTAACCATAAAAGAGAGACAATTTTACTAATTTATTTGTTAAATTAATTGCAAATATTACAATTATACAAATTTGGTTGATGCTTTAACTGCAATAGTCGAATTAGTTGGTCCATAATTTCACCCTTAATAAATAAACATTACAACAATGGAAATATTTTTTCTTTAGTGTAGCATGCATTTATCTCCTTAGTATACTAGTACAAGTATTGTTTTCGATGTGTATGCGTGCATTGTTTTGCAATTGCATACATTACAGTAGTGTTGTTGTGTTGTTAACGGAGTACTGTTGTTTCTTCTCCTTACCACTTACGTACGTACGTACCTGTGCGGTCACTTACCATATATTTTACAGTAACGCTTATCGTTATCGATAATAAATTATTTAACGAAATGTTTATTATATGTGTTATTAGATCAGATTGATAAAAGTACATTCTTGTTAATACGTATTACAGTATTAAAAGAATACATATATTTAATTGTGATATTTCAGAATAGAATTTTCTATCTGCCAAGAAACTTGGAATGTCTCTATCCAGTACTCTATGATATCACCTTTGTCGCCGGAATAAAGGTTTGTATATGCGTATGTGTATCAAGTAACGGACAGAAATAGAAATTACGAATTCATTGAATCAAGGACTTAAAAATTTACCGGAATGATCAAAATAAATGAAATAGCCTTAGAAGTTATCGTTATAGTAGTGTTATAGTAATGTTTATAGTAGTGTTTATAGTAGTGTTTATAGTAGTGTTTATAGTAGTTTTATAGTAGTTTTATAGTAGTTTTATAGTTACTTATCATGACCAACTTTGCAAATTCGCATTAAATGCACTTTCCTAATTACACTCTGAAAAATATATATTCTTGATCAACACTGTCTTCGTCTGCAGAATGCACCGAAGAAGTGCAGCTATGTACAAAAAAATGAAGAAAAAATAAGAATGATGACAAAAATAAAAATAAAATAAAATAAAAAAACTAAAAAAAATTGAATTGACTAAAATCGAGCATTATTAATCAAAATGTACGTACTAAATCATTATTACATAGATAAAGGTCTTGAAAAAATGTTTGCATTAATGTAATACTATAATTAGATATGAAATTTATTTCTACGTATAGTATATAATATATTAAATAGGTAAAGAATTGTTATTTTTAACATTCAAATAAACTTAATCAATGCTTGAAAATATGTCTAATTTGTTATTTAAAGGACCAAAATATACTGTATGTTCTAAAATTTTTTGTATTGATTAAATAATCTTTTCTAGAACATTTCAAGTAAGTATTGCCAAGTGAAAACTGGCAATTCTAAAAATAGATTATTATAAAAGTCAATTCACAATAATCTATTTTTATAATTGCTGGTTTTCGCTTCTGCACTTGGCGACATTCAAATATAAAATTAAATTAATTAATGCTAAAATTTCAAAATACGGTATACGTATTCGATCTTTGAATAACTTTGTATATTGTAAATTATGATATTTGTCAATTATGAATAATAATAACTGTAGTAATTTTTAGATTTATGAATAATATATTGTGTAGTAATTTTTAGATTTATGAATAATACATTGTGTAGTAATTTTTAGATTTATGAATAATAATAACTAGTGATTTTTAATTTGGATATATACAGTAATATTATAATAATGCTTATTTACAGTAGAAGACAATATTTTTTTTTCTTTTGAGTAATTTTTTGTTTTTTTAAATACTGTATATACCAATGGAAATTATTATAATTTTTAAAAAAAATTTCTTAATTTACAGGTATTATAATTTGTAGATCCATGTAACGATAACACAAAATTTAAAGGCAAAAAAATTAAAACAAAAGTTAGATTAAATCAAATTAAGTTAGGGTTTAAGGTTTAAATAATACATAATTTATACTAAAATTTGGTAAGAAATAAATCCCAAAAAAATAGGGGTATCATATAAGCAAAATTTTATGTATTACGAGTACCCTTGTATACTAGTGTACAAATACAATAGAAATTGGTTTGTCCAAATACCCAATATTATAGTGTGGCATTTCTGTTAAGAAAATATCTAATATATATATACTTTGATTAATACTGTAAGAATTTAGAGATGGATATTTCTAGATGTTTGTAAAATCAGATCTTTACCGTTACTGTACGTACGAAATTGGTTAGCAAAACTTGTATTTATGGTTATAAACGTCACCAGAATTCAATGGTTAAAGTTGATGATTTATCGAATAAAATTCCACAAGGAACACTTTTAACTAGAACGTAGAAACTGTTTCATAGTTAAATTTTCGTGAATTACAAGAGATTTTTCGCTTTCTTTTAATTTTTACCTGATCGGGTGTTCTTTTTTTACGGATAGAGATGGATATAACAAACTTATACCGGTAATTATTGTCTTTCTGTAGTCACAAAATAAAAGTGTTGTGGGCGAGCTGTCAATTTTAATACACCTTATAGTGTATAAATATAAAAGGCTGGGTGGGTCATTCTGTTGCTCAGAATTTAGCTCCAAGCTTTGATAGACGTTCAAAGAGTTAATACTGAACCTATCCCTAAAATTCCAATGGGTTCTCGCGGAATTTGTAATAAAAAAAGTATGAAATTTAATAATAATAAAAGAATTCTTTTAACTATTTCTCTTACGCATATATACAAAAATGGAAAGGCCGACCAATTATTCAGTCGTATTGACACGCATTATTTTAAATATTAACATCATATCTCGTTAAAAAAAAATATATCTACGATTTTATTTAATATAAATAAAAAAAAAAACGAATTATCATTTATCATTACAAACACGTACTTATTGGCGTGGTGATTATTGTCCAAATATTTACATTCAAAGCCTGAAAACGTTCATCCGTGACTTGACAAATGTCATAAGTAGCTCTCCTCATTTTTTGTAAGACATGAAATCAGCACTGCCTGAGTATATGTCTCAAAGCTTAGCTTACTGGCAATGTACCAGTTCTTTTGCCCAAAATAAATGATTTTACATTCATCTTTCCCTCTTCTTATCCTTGTCTTTATTTTGTTTTAAAAAAAAAATTCGATTATTATTTATTGTAAAAAAATATTTTTCTTTTTTCTATCAATCATTTAAAAGAACATGGAAATATTTTGGAAAATCGGCAACTTGTTAGCATATGCATTTCTTTTGGGAACTAATATTTATAGTGACCTCGGACCTAACCAGGTTTATAATTTGTTTCATTTTCTTTTTTCGTGATAATTGATTTTTTTTTATAACAAATTGATAATTTTGAGTACACTCGCGTTTACGCGCTATGTTATTTATCTAACATGTTTTTTTTAGGAGAAAAGTCCATATTTTCTCTCCCACACAACGTATATTACTCCTGCTTATTTTACCTTCTACGCATGGTTTCTTATTCATTTATTATTAGGAGGCTTCGGTAGGTCAACATGTGACTTCGATTCGTTTTAATTAATAAAATTTTTGTTCAAAGTTTAACATTTTATATTATAATTTTATATTATATCTTGTATAGTTATTTATCAATTTTTCCCAGAAAACGATGATATAATTGCTAGAGGAATTAATTTTCACTTTATAGCAGTCGCAATGTTGAATTCTTTATGGCTATTTCTTTGGGTATCTTATTATTTAAATTTCAAATATTTTTTAAAAATTAGTATATTCAAATTTTTTGGCTTAAAATTATTACATTACCAGATCTCTAAATTTATTCTTAAAAATTTTCAATTAATTATTTAAAGGAAATAGATTTTCTCTTCCTTGGATTTGTCGTCGTTTTATTCATCTTTTTCCAGATCTCTTATGTTTATTGGAATTTGAAAACTTATCATCCCGCTAAAAGTTTACTTCAAACTATTTTTATTCATGCTCCATTCTCTTTATATCATGCTTGGATTTTAATAATTGCTATTCTTACAATATACGCAACTTTTACTCCTGATAGACCGATTGCTTATCCTGCCGCTATTGAAACTGTCAATGATGAAGTAATTAATGAAACAGCTACTGTTTATTATGAAAGTCCTAGTATATTTGTTCAAATTTTAGTGATTTTAGGACTTCTTTTCATGGAGTGCACAGCAATTGGTTATATCGAGAAATTTAAAGGTGATCTTGCTGGAGCTGCTGTAATTGCTTGGACTTTATATGGAGTTTGGAGTGAACAACAAGATGCTATTATACGTTGGACTGCTTTTGCTCTTGCCGTAGTTACTACAATTCATATCTTAAAACCTCTTACTTTGAGGTACGTTTTCAAGAGAGGGGATGCTCCTATATTTGGTTAAAATAAATTTATTTATTTTTTTAAATTTGTCAATATTACGGTAGTTTGGTTTAGATATAACAGTACTGTATGGCTCGAAACTATTGATAATATTCAGATAGTTAATTTTATAAATGTTAGTCTGGATATCCAAACTAACATCTAATCTAGATTTGAACACTACGTATCCAAAACTAAATTACTTACTTAACGAACTAATTTTTAGTATTATAATTTTTTTGGTTAGAAAAGATTTATTTTGAGAATTCTTTCTTTGTTCTTTTTTTTGTTAGTTTTGATTTAATAAAAAAATTGCATGCGTATGCATAAACGACAACAAGATGAGATAGAGAGAGTCTTTAAAATTAAATTATGCCGAATATTAGTGTATACGTATAACTTATTATTATATATTCATATAATTTCTTAAAATTTTCAATTTTTGACAAGGTTTACTCAGTACGATTAGTCATGTAGTTGGATAAACCAAAGGCGCCGGAAATAATAAATTCAATTAAAGGACATGAAGTCCGCAGAATACATTATGAGTAATTTTAGCCAAGTAAATTGAACTGAATTAGCAAGTGAGATTGCGCCAGGTATCGTCGTAACAGTAGAACGAGCGAGACGCAGCTGCTCGAAGCAGGCCGGCTATTAAATGGGAAAATGACATATCAGGAGACAACAGTGAGAAATTTTGTTTGCCGAAGACTATTGTATCGAAGTGGGAAAAAGTGTCAAAAACAACTTGTTGTCGATAGTGGATGGTGACGTCTCTCTGGTTGCGTGTCGATTCATGCAATTTAACTGATTGATTCATTCTTTGATCCCGACCCACTCATAATCTGAGGGCAGGGGTGGTGTTAACCTTTCTTTTCGATCCGTTGACCTTTGTCAACATGCATTAATAAATATTGTACAATAAATATTGTAATCGTATAATTAGTACGCTACATATAATCACCTGGTTACCATTACGCGAAATTTCTTGATTCTGTTTTAAAATAATTTTTGAAGAATTTTTAAATTATAAAATTGGCTCCTTCTTCTTCCGATAGTAACATTACTATTGCTATATTACGTATTGTAACTAACTGTCAAGAGAACATTACCAATAATTTCATCATTGATTGATTCTACTATATATGGGAATTTTTTTTTTACTAGTTCGCGCATTGAAAATTTCACTCCGAATGTAACGTGATCTGATCTTGGATGTAATATAATAATAAAATTTATCAATCAATATTGGTCGCTGAAAGTGATGATTTCATGGCATAGTGATAAAGACAATGAGAATAACATAATAGAGATTTACAAGTCATCATTAAATTAATTAAATAAATTAATAAAATTAATACAATTAATAAAATGGAAGATTTCAATAAATTTATCACGTCAAAAGATTTATTAATTTTTCTATATGAAAAAAAGAAATATTAAAGTCGCAAAATTTTCTCCATCTCCTTAGATTCAAGCAATTAAAATAATTTCGATAATTCTTTTTCCTTTTACAATTTAAACGATTAAATTTTTAATATAAACTATCCTGAAAATAAACCAAACAAAATGCATCAATCTTACAGTCTCCTTTCAACTTTTTTGATTCTCTTGGTGTTAATTCCATCTCTCTTTGCTTATTCAATTCCAAATTCCAAATACAATAAACGAAATAATCGTCGTGGTTTAAACAATAATGTTCGAGATAACGATTTTAGGAGTATTTCTAAAAAGAAAAGATATGCTGGTCCAAACATAAACAAACTTCATCGTGCACGATTTTCCAGACGGTGTATATCGCCAATTGCAGAGACTGCAATGTTGGGTGGGCCTTGTGGACCATGTGACAGTTGTGGAGGGTTTGATGTTTGTGACGATGTACCTCTCTTAGGACCCGGTTGCGGTGGATGTGGTGGATGTGGTGACTGTGGTGGATGTGATCTTCCACAAGTTATATCTCATGATCAAGCATGTTCAAATGATTTTGAAAGTGCATTCGAAAGTGGTCATGAATTACAATGTTGTGATGAATCTTGCGGTCAAACGTGTTGTGAAGGTTGTAATGAATGTGATTTTAATATGATCCTTTAATTTTTATATATTATGTACTTTTTCTATAAATTATTACTTTTTTTTTTTTTTTTTTGGAATAGTTAATATGTTATAAACAGATATATATAATAATAATAATAATGTAAGATAATAATATATTCAATAATGTATAACTATAACTTTTTTCTTTATTCGAAGTAAATAAAAGATCATAATTATTGTAATGTCACTATATTCTGTATTATATGGTTCATCAGTAAGAAGTCGACTAAGTTTTTTTTTATTGAGAAATTTTATCAAGATTGTGAATTATTTCGAATTTTGTAGACTGATATTACTGTACTGATCGTAAGTTATCATAACGATAAGTATCGTAATTTTATTAAAATTGTTATTTTCTAAATAAGATACAAAAAGAATAAATATCTAATAACAGATAATATAGAATGTGATCTTTCATTTAAATGGAACGAATAGATAGACGCTTTTCAGTGAATGAGATTCGAGGAATACAAAGTAACTAGTTTAGTTTATCTTCAATTTCATTCATTCATTGATTTCATTCATGTTAAAGATTTTCATAAAGATTCCATATTTGTACTTTTTGTACACTTTTTTGATGTTGCATAAAAATGGACGTTTAGAACTAATATCGCAAATACATCTTTAACTATATATATTAACCCTTTGTTGTAAAATCTTGATCCACGAAATAATTTAAATGCAATTTATTTTATTATTAATCTCGGCAATAATAGTTTTAAATTCACTGTAAACAATTCATTATAGTTGATACTTTAAATAAAAATCTTTTCTAAATAGTTAACATCAAAATTTTAACGTACTTTTTTATTCGAGGTTAAAAGTTTAATTTTGAAATTTATTATCTTAGGCTGAATAATAGTTTTAAAAAAAAGTAAAAAAAAAAAATTAACATCTCGACCAAAAAATTATAATTTAACGTTAAAATAACACTGATAAACACAATTTAATTTTAGTTTAGTTAAATTCATCATATTGAGACAAAATATTAACAGATGGGATTACAAGTGCTAGCGCTAATGGTGAAAAGAAAAAATTAGAAGGATTATACTAAATAATGAATCAGCAACGATGAAATAAGGGGTCCCCCTTAAAAGGGAGGGGATGAACTCAAAAAAACAGGGTTATGATGGAGAACCTGGGTATCGAACCCAGTACCTCTCGCAAACTCTCATGCGAAGCGAGCGCTCTACCATCTGAGCTAGTTCCCCACTAATCACTTTCTGCGCTAAAAAATTTTCCTTATACTTTAAAATAATGATTAGAATGATCATATTACATTATGAAAATTTAGTACGTAATAAAAATTATTACTATATTTATCCTATTCTTTATATCCCCGAATAGTATCAGCAGATTTCTTCGTTAATTTTACCTGTTGCCCCTGCTCTTTTTTACAGGGTTAATGCATTGGGAGTACATCGATGGAGTGTCGACTTATATTTTATATAATAAAAAAAAAAGTATCAATTTAATATTATATATCGATATAGAAATATGTCGAAGCTAAAGATTTAACCAATCACATTTTATTACATTTGATCAAGTGATTTTGTTGGTTAACGCACGTGGGGATTGACACTAGCATAACGATAAAGGTAAGGGCAGAAGTTTAAAATCAATGGAAGATCATGCTTTTATTATCTTTTTTTCAAAATTTTGCACAATTGTCGACATGTAAATAAATCCAAATTCGTTTTGCCGCTGTTTTTATGTCGACCTAAAATTCCTATTCAATTCAACGAGCATATGAAGGGATATCATCCTTAAATTCACAACTTTTTATTTCTACTAAAATATTTAGCCGTCAACTATCGAAACGAAACTTTACGCACTACTACTACTATTCTTTCCGATTGACGTTGGGTGCCGCCAACTATCGAAGCGAACCTTACGCACTACTACTATTCTTTCCGATTGACGTTGGGAGCCGTCAACTATCGAAGCACTACTACTATTCTTTCCGATTGACGTTGGGTGTGTACTAAAATTGATTATGACCAGTATTATGAATAGTTCCTGAATTTTGACCATTACCATCAGAAAAGAGGTATTAATTATAAATACGTTATACAAAAAGTCTTAGAACATAATAATAAACGTCTGATTAGCAATTTTAAACTGTTTCAGATATAAAATATCTAACTCCATATTGACATGCTAATATGATACAGTAAATTATAATTGTATAATCATAAACTAAGAATGAAATATAAATGTGCATTTAATGATTCAAACCGATTAAATTTTATAGTTCAGTTAAGCCTTTAAGTTTTTTATTGCTTAACCATTTATTTAATGATTAACGATTGAAAGTTATATTGATATTAAATTTTCTCATTTCAATTATAAATAATAATAATGAATAATAAATTTATGCCTTAAAAACGATTAATTCAATAATCTAAATACCAAAATAAAATAAATAAATATAAATTTATTTAATTATAAATACTGTAAGTTAAATATAATATTTACAAGAAGAGCTTCAACAGAATCAATGAGGTTTGTAAATATATCAAACCAAAAATATAGATCGCAGAGCTTGTATATTGTTGATGATACGCTTTTTTTTTCTAATTTAACTAGAATTATTTTATTTGTGAGCTTGTCAATAAAATAAACTATGATATTGTAAAATGTTGTATCTATCCCTTAAACCGTCCAGTTAGCAGGCAAATTTGCCTGCTAAAATTTTATTGATCTACTTTTATTAAAAATAAAACTATTAAAATTTTTTTTTTTTTAAATAATAACTATAATTATATACTATCTAAAAGTTATTTTTAACTTTTTAATATTTATAAAAAATTTGAAGTTATTTTTTTAATGTTAATGGTGAGACCTTGCTCTTATCTTATTAAATTTAATGAAAATTTCTTACAACATTGGAAAAAATTTTATTGTATAAATCTAATGCTAAGAATAAGAACTTAGACATATATCTAAGTAAACCTAAATACTTATCTGTGGTCTAAACCAAAATTTGAAGTTATTTATAAAAGAAAACTTTACAAATTTTTTAAAAAATTTTAATTTTAAATATATATATATATTTTTACTTAATAAAAATTTAAGTTCTTTGGTTTAGGCCGCAGATAAAAAACAAGGTGTCTATTAGGCACTTTTAGTTAGTTTGAGTTCTTATTCTTAGCATTAGGTTTATACAATAAAATTTTTTTCGATTTTGTAAAAAATTTTGATTAAATTTAATAAAGATAAGAGCAAGGTCTTACCATTAACATCAAAAAAAAAAAAAAAAATTTAAGTTCTAATTTAATAAAATATTGTAAAAAATAAAATTAAATAACTTTTATTAGGCCATACAAAATTAAATTTTTTTTTCTCATAACCCAGCTGGGTCATAAAGTCTGAATAGAAAAATTTAAAATTTGGGGCGCAGTATAGCATTAACCAATCAGAATCACTAAAATGTACAAATAATTTTATATATACTACAGTAAAAAAAATTTGTTATTTTACTCAAACTTTGACAATATATGTCTCAATAACTAGTGATCTAAATTGGCTCAATTTTTTATCATAAATAATATCGATATTTATCTATTATACATAAAAATTTTAGCCTATTTGGTCTGTTGGTTCTCGAGTAATCGTTTGCATATAATAGTTAATTTTTTTAAAAAATTAGCTATCGTATACAAGTGATTACTTGAGAACTACTAAACTGAATCAGCTAAAATTTTTATATATAATATAAGAAAATCAACATTATTTATAGTAAAAATTTGATCCAATTTGGATTATTAGTTATCAAGATATCCCTCATAAAATTTGAGTAAAAATAGTAAAAATTTTATTATTAATTATTAAAAAAAATTATTTTTACTCAAACTTTAATGATAAATACCTTAATAACTAGTACTGTATATTCCTGAAAATAAGCTACTCTGAAAATAAGCTACCCTCTCACTTTTAAGCAAAAAACTAAGAATTCTCTCTTATCCGAAAATAAGCTACCCCCTGAATTTTTCAAAATTTTTTAACAGTTGTTATATATAAAAATCAAAATTGTACTAAGTAAATGTTATGTTTTGACCATAATAGAAGTTGTTCAGAATTTAAAAATCCACATATTTTGAAAGTTTTATACAATTTGGATAACTTTTTATTAGTACACTTTTGTATTTTAAATTTAAATTTAAAATGCAAAAGTGTACTAATAAAAAGTTATCCAAAATTTTCAAAATATATATATTTTTAAATTCTGAACAACTTCTATTATGGTCAAAATATATATTTACTTAGTACAATTTTAACTTTTATATATAACAACTATTAAAAAATTTTGAAAAATTCAGAGAGTGGCTTATTTTTGGATAAGAAAAGATTCTTAGTTTTTTGCTCAAAAGTAAGAGGGTAGCTTATTTTCAGAGTAGCTTATTTTTAGAAATATATAGTATTTTTTTTTTCTCAAGTTCTTATTAGATATATAGAAATTTTAATTCTAATTAAATAAAATTAATCATATTAGATTTTAATTTAAAAATAATAAAGTATATTATTAATATTGTATATAGAACAATTTTAAACAATTTTAGATGTTTTTTCAAATTAAAGTTACTTAAAATTTTATTAAGATAATTTATTTTAATTTTTTTATAAATAAATCTAGCATCTAAAAAAAATATATAATTATATATTTTTTTAAATTATTTATTAATTATTTAAATTTAGAATATAGGCTTGAATGTAGTGCTTCTAGATTCGGTTCAGGTTTGGTCTAGTTTGGGTCTAGTTCAAGATCAAACCAGACTTAGACTTTAAATTTTACTAGTTTCAAACCTCAAACTAGACACAAACTTAACTGTCTGATAAGCAATATCTTTTGCAGCTTTTGAGTATTATATATATTTTTTTATAATAATTTAGATTATTTAGCAGCAATAAATGATATTGATTTTTGTTATCACAATAGAATTGGAAAAGAATTTTTTTTTTTAAAAAAAAAATTTGGCAGTTATACCAAAACTTTT